TTTCTGGCATTAATCTGTAAGATTATATATAATATATAATATATAATAATATAATAATATAATAATATAATATAATAATATATAAGATTATATATAAAGACATATATATATCTTTCAAGCTTTAATTTAAAAAAACGTCATCATCCTACGATGGTTTTTCGTGGAAGTTATCGTCAGTCAAAGTTGATCAATTTTTATCCAAAATTTTTCTATGCCATAATTTTTGTGAGAGTTATTATTATATAATGTACAACGTCCTTATGTATCATTTATAACATTAAAACGTGTAACTTATGATTATGTACTCGCTAACATGAACATAGTTGCGATCATTTCATCATGATTGAAGTTTCAAAGGACGATTTTTCTATAGTTACCAAAGACTGGTGTGTAGCAATTTATTGTAAATTTAATTGTAGGACTTAAAAGAATTTACTAACTAATTAACAATAATACGAATGGTGGTTGCATACAGCTGTCTGTTAATTCAAATTGTTACATAATTGTTGAACAACTCGAAATTTTGAAAAGTGAAATGCCCAGATCAGGAAACATGAGGACCTTTCAGGAAGCAGATGTACTTATGGCAATGTCCGAATTCGCTGGTTTCCTTACAAAATCAAGACTTGGAACAAATAGTTTAAGAAAGAGAGTGCACGATTACAAAGCTAGTAATTCAAAGCCAGCAGAAAAAACGTTCACTGCATCTGGTAGTATTTCTAACATGGATTTTATTGAGCAATTCGACTTATGGTTAACGGAGCTACTGAAATACATAAAAGAAGTAAAACTTCTTACTCGAGTAAGTTTCTATTTATCCGAATTAATAAAATCTGCTCGGTGGGATGTATAAAAAATGTTTATTTATTCTTAATATTTCATTAAAAGATTACAGCGTTCGGCGTATTCGCAGATTACCACGATTATATATACATTTTGCGATCGCCAATTAGACGGGATGATCGTGAGATTAGGTTGCCGATATACAACATTACATTACCAGAAAACAAATTCAATGATTTCACGCACGCCATACCTATAAAACGAACTGCTGATTTCGTTAAAACAAATAAGTGTAAACGGGCCGAGATAGCTAAAGTGTGTGGATCGTACTAATTGAAAATTCGAGAAATAAGAAGCAAGTTACAACATCGGTTTTCATGTTTTAATTAATTTTGTTAAAGCGATGAGCGAAATACCAGTTCAAAATTCAAATTTAATTGATACATGCGCAAGTAGAAGATGTCGAAATACATACACATTTAATTGAAATTGAATACTTCATTTTAGATGCATACAAACGTAAAAATATATAAATATCGAAAATAATTAATGAACAATCTTATTATGAAGCTTTATTACATCTATAGAACAGCTTAACCTAAGTACATAATAATCCTAGAATGATATAAACGAAAATATCAGTCTTGGAGATTGAACTTTATCGACTATCACCTATACGATGAATTGGCATAAAAGTGTAACAGAATTACATATGTTCGAATATTTATTATTATATAAAGACTCCTTAATATATTCAATCATATCAATGATACATTAAGTGATCAGATTAATTACATACCTGCAGATGTCAATTTTAAATTGCCAAATGCACAACCAGTTGTGTATCATTAAAAGCTACGTTTACTACATAGGTCTATCATCTTGTGGTAGCTCATATTTTACAAATAAGTGACTTTTTAATCATTTTATCGTCTCTTATAATAAAATTTATTTCAAAAAGATTGAAATTTTAATCAAATATAGTAAAGATTAGATTTTATATGGGCAATTGAAAGTATACATTTTTTGGACATTTGTCAGGATGAACACAAGTGAAAATAACTACATAAACTCTTTTTTGAATTTTTATTATCCTTACAATATTAAAATTTTTATCAATATAATTAAACTCTTATTTAAACGATAAAATAAGTTCAAAAATTTCGTATTGCAATTGAGCACATATATTTAGTCGACGAAATAATTATAGTGTTGAAAGATTTGTGATAAGCACTATTTACGTAGTTGGATGGATAACTATAAAAAAAAACAACTAAAAAGTTTCCTTTGAAAATAGTAACCGTCGGAATATTATGGAATCGATACAGTCACTTGAAACGAAATTACAAAAATAACATTATATTACCAATAATCTAAAATATAACAGAATCTGATAATATTATTATACAATATTAATTCTAGGAAATGATTAATCGGTCTCGACAAACCAACGCTAAACAAGTTCAAATTTGTTACAGCTACAAATTTATAAATTCAATACTTTAAAAGGCTGTCCCAAAGTGTGAGTCACAATGTATTCTTCTTTTATATCAATCTTTGAATAAGCATAACGCTACCTACACTTTGTACGCTTTTGTACACTGGCTCTAAGACATTTAATACTTCACTGAAACATTGATCTACCCTTTGATTTTCAGTGAACAAATGTCCTCATGTTTCATTTTTTTTTTTATGGGGGCAGGGGGAATAAATATTTATATAGAATTCGGTTGTCATGAGAAAATAAGTTTTTAAGACAACAAAGCTTGGGTCAAACCATTGGTCAATGATGGAGACCTCCAACTTTTAGCTTTTTCGATTGACGCACAGTTCTGCTTGCTTCACTGTCTGAAGACTCAGATTCTGTATCATTATATCCTGACATCGGTACACCTTCTGACTTTGTAACTTCGCAAGTTTCAGCTGCGAAGTTGCCTGTAATTTTTGCTTTCTCCAGAGCTCGAACTGTAAACAATCCAGTTGATACAAAATTCAATAGGTTTTGCATTCAATTATATTGGATACTCGATAGTTTTGACAATAAAAATAAGATATTTACTTTGGGACTCTAGAAGACTGTTTTGTCTTTTCAGGTCATCTATGTCTTGTTGATGAGAAGAATTCTTACGACGCATGAATTGTATATATTCAGCAGCCTTTTTCAGTATTTGTGCTCTACTTACAACTTTCTCACTTTGCAATGCTGGTACAGAATCTCGTAAACTTGAGAAACTATCCTTAATATGATCTCTACGCTTACGTTCTAATGCATTATGGTGTGCTCGTTTTTCTGCCTAAAAGTAGAAGAATAAATCCTTATAAAACATTACATTATAGTATATTACATCTCAATATTGATTAATATTTGTTTTACCACGATAGGCATTGAACTTCAATAGCATTCTATAAGATTTAACCTTTTCGTAAAAAAATTAATTAGTAAGACAAAAATTATGACAGAATACACTTTAATACACGTACATTGTGTAAAAGAAAACAATGCAAATCAAGCTGTCAATTCAACTATAGTCTTCTCAGTTTTGATATTAAATCGTCAGTTTGTTTACAAACAACTTCATGCATGTACAGTTAGCTTTAAGAACATAGAAGTCACACTTCTAAATTAATCGCAAATCCATTAAATGCTTAAATTACAGTTAAATAAAATTCATTTATTCAATGTATGGATTATAACTTTTTTCTGTGGTCTGTGGTTGTTTAGGTAGGAACCGTCAAACTAACCTCAAAAGTATTTAAATCTAACACTCGACGGATCAATTAAGCTTATATTAGTGGTTGATTTGTGATTAGAAACACAACATAAGGAAGAAATAATGAAATAAAGAATAATCAGGGGTCTTACTTGAGAATAATATTGAGTGTTATTCGAATGTCTCTGCCTAGAGTCGGAATCGTCACCTTCCTGAAAAACAACGTTTTTGATAATACTCATTGAAAGGACACTTTTAAGGACTTACATCGCTCTCAATGTCGATGTCTCGATCATCGTCACTCATTATAATTTCCTTCGGTTGCCGGAGTAATTGGTAAACAAAAGCCTTTATCGAGTATTTGAGTAATACGTATACATACACATACGGAGACGTAGACACTACATATAGCGACTACAATCTGATTTGTATGCTGAATGTACAAACAGAAACGCTACAATTCGATAGGAAAACATACGTCTCAGATATTTATCAAGAACCTAGAGATTTTTCTTATATTATTTCCCTATGATTTCCTTATAATATGATTTCGCTATAAAATTCAATATAACGAGTACATACAATCAATTCACGCGTATTCTAAGTTTCATTTTAATCCAAATAGTTATTTCTTTTACAGTATTAGGTATTTTGTAATCAAATAAAAAAAAGATAGATTATATTTTTCTCTTGAGTTTTATTTTCTAGGAGTTGTGCATTCGTAGGTGAAAATTTTTTCGTTAGGTACAGAGAAATGGATTTGATG